TTATATAACATTTTACTAGCCACATTTTTTAAAATATTTCATCATAGAGTTTGCCAAACAAACATAAAACCGTGGAATAAAAAAATGGGAGAATGATGTGGTGTAAATCGAGGCTGGATTAATTGAGGTGTGGACGAAAGGAGTGGCGGATATTGGAGGAGAAGTGGGGCCATCTTATCTCAAGCGAAAGGTCGGTGAGGAAAGATTGGCCAATCCTCTCCTCTTCTTTTTGTCAAAATCCTTATCGTTTGTCATGCAGAACTTCCACGGTTCCTGGCTATCTTATTTTATTTTCAAAAGATTAAACCTCATTTTGGTCTCTCAACTATTTTACGGACTTTCAATTAAATCTCTCAATTCAAAAAATCTCTGACTTAGTTCTTATGATTTACTATTTTTGCTTCAACTTAATCCTTTCATTAAAATTCTGCCTGCGTGTCCCGTTAACTCATTGGACCTTGATGACATGTAAAAATATTATAACACGTCAGCTTAATAGCATGAATAAATAAATGATGTGTCAAAATATAATTACTTAATTCATTTAAAATTATAATTTCACCATCATCTTTTTCCTCGAGGATCTTCTTCCTCAAATCTTCTTCATTCATTCTTCTTTTTCTCTCTCTTTGCTTCATTTGAATCCACTTTCATCACCATTTTTCTAAATCAAACAATCAATCCATTAATATTTTTTCTCCGACTCCACTTTCATCACCACTTTTGCAAACCCACAAAAGAACCCAGCGACTGTTGGGTTTGAAATCGGACTTCCATTTTTGGCTTTTTTTGTTTTTCCTTTTTCCTTTTCTTCTTCCTCTTCCTTTCCTTTCACCTTTTGCAAATCCAAACACCTTCTAACATCAAATCCAAGTATAACACAAACATAAACCCAAAATCTCTCCAAAATAGTTACTAGCCCTCTTAGCTTTCAAAAAAAAACCTAGAAAAATCAAGGTATCTTCTCCGTAATTTCTATAAAAAAAACCTAACTAAAGCACCTAAAATAAAGACCAAAAATCAACAATAAGAAGAAGAAAAACCCAGACCAATCAAACTCTAGCAAATTTGCTAATGGAACCCAACGAATCTCGCGAAATAACCTAGCAAATTTGCAAGGTTTGAAATAACCTAGCAAAGCTGCTAGGTTCTTGGACCAAGCAGAAGTTGAAAGAGAAGAGGAAAGAGAAAGGGATAGAGAAGATAGATAGATAGATAGATAGATAGATAGATAGATGGATAGAGAGAGAGAGAGAGATAGAGAGAGAGAGAGAGAACCTAGTGAATCTGCTAGGTTCGAAATAACCTAGCAAAGCTATTGGGTTCAAGTAGCTTCCATCAAACCAAGCAAAAGTTGAAAGGGAGGAGGAAAGGGAAGAGGAGAGAGAGAGAGAGAGAGAGAGAGAGAGAGAGAGAGAGAAAAAAATACCTAGCATATTTGCTGGGTTTGTAGAAGTTGAAGAAAGGGAAAAGGAAAGAGAGAGAAAAAAAAAGCACTAAAAAAAGGGAATTTTTTTGGGTGGCATGAGTTGGAATTACATGGGTAAAATTGTTGGCCATGTCATTTATTTTTGTCCAATTGTTAATCTTTGGTTTGAAAATTTTAGACGCGTATGCTCCTTCCATCAATTAACGTGGAAAATTTAATAGAAAGACCAAGTTGGTGCCAAAATGGTACATAGTAGGGACCAAATAAAAAATTTTTTAAATTAAGAGACTCAAACAAAATTCATATAATAGTTGAGAGACTAAAATGAAAGTTTAACATGTTAGAAACAAGCATATCCATATTAGTT